CAATGACTTGCGGGAGGCCAGCCGATGTACAAGCTGGGTCAAGCGAGGCGAAGCCGAACTATGAAAAGGTTGTCTAATCCTCCCCCAAAAAAAACTGTTCATAAAAAAGCCCTGCTACCCCACCGTCCACAAAAAATTCGTTTAAGAAGTACAAAAGTGAAAAAGTCAAAGAATGATCATTATTGATGAGTCCTACCAAACGAGCAAACGAGAAACGGAGCAAAAAACGACAAACTAGTCACTAAAAATGGCATACTATGACAACATCTCAGGCTTTCCAATTTTAGTACTACACAGAGTATGGTTCTCAATTTGTACGTCCCCCTTTCGGTTGAAAGAAGCCTTTTAACCGCCTTAGCCAGCTGTGTGTTACTGATCTTTGGTGTTGACCGTAAAGCAGCGTATCTACTACAAAATTTTCAATCTGAAAGCAGATTTGGGAGTTTTGTGAAGAGCTCTTTCTAATCAGTACTAAAATTACAAAAATTTATAAGAAATAACAAATTTAGATCAATTAACGAGGAAAATTCGAGATGAGCACGAGTTTTTACACTTTCCGAAGCCATAACTTGCTTCATTTTCGTCAAATTGAAAAGTTAATATGGCATACAAAACTAGAAGATTTTCTCTATCAAACGGTTGCTAAAGCAGCTTCATACGTCCAGTATTCAAAAAATGGCCACGTTGAGGATTTTTGCAAAATTAACGAGGAAAATTCGTGATGAGTGCGAGTTTTTACGCTTTCCAAAGCCATAACTCCGTTCAAACTCATGCAATCTGGAAAGTTAATAAACTAGAAGATTTGCTCTTTCAAATTACTAAAACTGCTAAATACGTTCACTATTTAAAAAATGGCCACGTTGAGGATTTTTGCCCGAGTACCGCCGAAAGGTACTTTTTCGCTGCATTGGCACTATTTCAACGACTATAGCTCCTTTCAGGGGCGATTTTGTACAAAAGTGGGAGCAGATTCGGAATCCACGAGCTTTTTCTTTCCAAAAGTGTAAAATTGTTTGGCGAATCTCAACTTTAACACTTATATGTTCATTTGACGCTGAAGGCTGCATTTCTTGTTGAATAGTGGACTCCTCCCTGTAATTTCACACGGACCCTTTCAGAATCCTCTTGATTTTTCCTGAATTGAGATTCTTTTTTCCAGAGAGCCGTAGTTGAAGCGCGCGCAACCACTGGGCCCACTCTGGGATGCGCCGTGTGCTTCACATTGGTGGACTCATTTGAAAGATAAAATATCCCTTGAAAACGTGCGAATTTCGATTCTTTAACTTGTGTGGTGATAAAACACTGAAGTAACTAAGAATTACTACGCGGACGCCTCAGAATCACGAAAATTTTGTGTGGGTGAAATATCATTGTTATTGGAAATCCTCTGGCCTGGCATCGATTCGATCCTTGATGTTTGTCCTCCGACGATGATCCTACTGTATCAATCGGCCCGATCTCTTCCTCCCAGCGGGCCAATACGACCCCCCCCCCCTGTGACATGTCGAGGATTCCTCAACGCACGCTTGACCCTGTGCACAACTCAGTGTTTTTTTTTATCCTCCCAGACAAGTCTGGTACCAATTAACCGACCCCGGAGGGATGGAAGGCTTGGTTGGCCCGGGCGACTCACGACCCAGGATTTGATCCCCGGACCGCTCGCGTGGTAAGCGTGCCACTTGCCACTACACCACTTCCGCCCTAAAAACCTATATATTCTCTATAAAATCAACAACTACTTGAACACCTTGTGGAACACGAATTCCATTGTCGCGCACTGCTTCTAGATATAGTTAACGTTTATCGCGACCCACTATGGGGAAAACTTTTCTTTTTCAATGGCTGCTTGGATTCCAGTGAAACTTTGCACGAATCGTGCCCCTGCGCAACAAAAACAGAAACAAAGTACATGCGAATATTGTTACTTTTGTGGATTGGGGTTTTATTTTGTTGTTATCGGTTATAAATGGACTTTTTCTAAGATTGGTGACGTTGTGCTGCCGAAATGGGCTTCATCGCCAGAAGAGTTCGTTCTTCTCCATCGTCAAGCTCTCGAGAGTGACCTAGTGAGCTGTCAGCTCAACCAGTGGATTGACCTCATCTTCGGTTACAAGCAGAAGGGTCCTGAAGCGGTAAGCATTGCTAATTCGCAGAAGTCATTTTCTCTTGGTCCTTTTCCAGTTGTTCATGAAGCTTACTTGAGTTGAGGGTGTTTTACGCTATATATTTACAATGATAGAGCCACGCTTGCTGCATGAACTGTGCATATACGACGCAAAGTTTCCCGTTGGTCGATGCATTCATGAATCAAGTGTTTCAGGTTCGCGCTACGAATGTGTTCTACTACCTCACATATGAAGGTGCTGTCTGCTTGAAGTCTATAGAGAATGCCACTCAGTTGGAGGCCATTCAGCAACAAATCACCTCCTTCGGTCAGACGCCGGTCCAGCTTTTAGCCGAAGCACATCCTCCACGGCATTCCGTCATGACTATGGTATTTTCCTATGTCTATGATTTCCTCACAGCCGCCCGCCTCATATTTTTGCTCTTCTGCTGCGGTAATTAGAGAAAATAATTCATACCTTAAATGAATTTCGATTGTTTCAGGCTCCACTGATGTTCCGTCGATGTGAGGACGATCTGTGCATGCTGATGAAGTTTATCTCCAACAGTCCTGTTGTCTTTCTGGCTGCGAATACGTTCCAGCAACTACCGCAACCCACAGTGGTGTCGATCGCGCAAAACCTGGTTTTCGCTCTAAATCGATGGGACAACTCATACACATGTAAGCATTTCAATCCGTACCTGATTCAAAGCATTTACACTTACTCAATATGGCTGTCTCTGTGGTGATCCTTCTCCTGTCACTTCACGCGCTATGACTGGGGAGCTGAGCTGTGCTGATTTGTAGTATTGATCTTGGGCATGGAATATATGCAGATCTTGCATTTTTTTCCTTGTTAGGAAACATCTAGGGGTCACTGTAAGTTAATAGGTTGGACAAAAACTATTGAAACCGCACACGATCGTGGAACTTCTTCTTTTTTCGCGTTCTTGTTCGCCTATGTTTTCTATGTATCATTTACTGCAGTATATAATGCGTATATTTACCCATTTATTATTTATTTGTTTCACCCGAAAGGCGCGATCAATGCCAAAGTAGGAGCCACATCCAAAAAAAAAACTGCAGTTGTTGAAGTGACTTGAAGTTGTTGAAGTTATAAAACAGTTATAAAAAAGAAGAGCAGCGAATCAAATTTCAGCAAGGTTGAATTTTTTCTCCAAAGCCAATAGAAAGCTAGGTAAATAAGTACGTAGTTGAACTTGGGCTCAATGAAGAAAAAAGGCTGGTCGCTTTTGTATACAGTCAGGATTGGAACTGATGATGAATGTATCCGATTCGGAACTTTTCCGACTTTCAGTATTTTGCGCCAACCCTTACGGCTTCGGATCGGTGCAGTATTTTCTAGTAGTTTCTCGTGAAGTTATTTGTTACGAATGCATAAAAATGTGAATCGTCTTTTCTATCAAAAATTACCTCTAATTAAAGGAATCTTCCACGGAAAAAGCTCCGCCCTCATTACCACAGAAAACGATACCTTAAAGGAATCTTCCACGGAAAGAGTGATGTTCTTTTGCTATGCTCATGAGGCTAGGGGCCTAAGGGGTATCGTTTTTCTGTGGTAATGGAGGCGGAGCTTTTTCCGCGGAAGATTCCTTTGAACTAAGCCTAAGCTTTTCGTCGATAATATTTTGCACATTTTGTCTTCTTCTTTATTACTCCATTTCAGATGGTGCAGTTACGAGAGGCGCGCTTTGCATGAGTGGTGACAAAGCTGGCGAGATTGACAACGCAACGGTAAGTTGAATTGCCCGGAAACGGTGGCTTTTTTGACGAGGACACGTTTAATACTTACAGGGAAACTATAGATTAGTTACTAGCTGCGTATGGTTTAAACCCGGGGTAAATTATATGGAGGTCAGTATTCGATTTCGAAGCAGCATGCAAATTTTTTGGCTCTTCAGTTCAGAGTGTCTCGCTAACTTATTCGGGTGACTTCTTCGCTTTGTTTTAGTCAACTTCTTTCTCGAAAATTCGAGTCTTCAGTTTACCATTACCTCTGTGCTTAAAACAGGAATTTGAAGAAGGTTAGTAGGTAGTCGTTTTGGCAAATCGGTCTTTGTTCGGTCATTTCCTTCGAAGTTCATGGCGTCGTGATGGCTTGAGAGCCTGGAAAAGTAGTGAGAGTCAACATACGAACAGGAGAAGCTCTTCCATCACTCCCGAGCTGTCGAGTCGCTGGTGCACCTTGAATCGCTGCCGCGTCACTCCTGCCCCGCGATGATTCGCTAGCGATTCGTCGCATTCGCGTAGTCTGACATCTGCCTAGGAACTGTAAGCTATAATAATTTTTAGGACTATGTGAATAAATCTTAGGTATCAAGGAAGTGAACATGGTATCCGTAACATATATTCGGAATGTTTTCCGGCTTGAACGAACCACTTTTGTGAGCGATCGTGAGCCTGGGGCATCTAGATTAAGCCGCGAGCGTTTTCTCAGCTCCATCCGAAGAAACTTCGTTTGCCTCAACCAGTTGCCGCTTGTTTCCGAGTTAAGCAAAATTCCATTCGTCCAGTCAACCAGAAACTCCGAAACAACCTCGACAAACTCCATTTTTCCACCCTATGATCCATAAATGGGATTGGATCGAGCTCGCTTTCTGCCAAAACACGATCTGCCATACCTCTTAGGTCGGTCTACGCTCCTCGACTAATAGTTGGTAGTTTCAAGAGGGACTTGTGATTAGCTGTGATATGATAAGAGATGATAGTAATTCCAATGATGAAGCTGACGTTACCAAGGGCAAATGTTACCTTGCCCAATTTGATAGGATATCAAGTAGTGAGAACCGACGCAAGTGTCTAACCTGCGAAAGAAAACTGTTGTACGGTTTCACATTCTACTTGGGTTACTTTTTTGTGAGCAGTCCACACGTTCATCTTGGTGCGTGGTAAAGTAAATTAGCTTAGAAGCGGTTTCAGCGTGTCCATACAGATTTGGGATCGCAAGGCGTTTTCTGTGGTTCTAAAACTGTGCTGCTCTCTGTAGTTTTGTTCGCAATGCCCTTTCTTCAACTCTGACTTGCCTTTGGTTTGTTCATGGATGTCGGGATGTTTGAAAGCGATTGTTCACGATTGTATTCGTTTCGTTTTCAGACTGAGCTGCCACTGACGGTCGATCCGTTGCTCGCTTCGGGAAATCCGTCCATTCCTGTGGCACGTCGTCACTTGGGGGATTCCTTGGATCATCGGTTGACAGTCCGATGGAATAACTTTGTCGCAACGACCGATAGCAGATGTTTGATAGCTTGTGGTTATCCGGACTACAGTTTTCGAGTGATTGACACAGATGCTGGTGAGCGAATTCATAGCGTTCAGGTTGTTTCGAGGCGGGTACATTGTTGTTTAGCCCGAGTGCGACAAGTGATCTATGGTCATGGTGATGTTGTGACATGCATTGCGCGCTCTGAGACGAGTCTTTTTGCTGATTGCTACGTGGTGACCGGAAGTAACGACTGCACAGTAGCCTTGTGGCATTGGAACGGACAGGTGAGTGTGCGTGGAGAAATTGCTGATAGCTGTTCAGTAGTTAGCAGTGCTGCCATTAAATGCTTTGCCATCTTCTGAATCCTGGATTTAAACTATTTTTAGCTGACAAAGATCTACTTCATCGCTTTCTTCTTGATCGCATTAGGCTACGCATTACAAAATTAAGATGGCAACGTTTCAAAAAACTGTAGCAGAGTAGGAACAAAGAATATGCGATCATGTTCTTGTCCCCGACAGTACATCACTGAGTGTT